CCCCCAGGGGGGATGGTCATGCCTCAATCCCTCTCCTCCATTCTCCTCTCGGGATCTTGGGCACGCACTCACACGCGCCTGGTGTGAGTTTAAGACACCAGGGCCGGGATGCGAACCACGGTTGACTACATGGGAGTCCAGCGACATAGCCATTACTCTAACTGCTGGTTCCCAGGATGATACCATTTTGAAAGACGTGATTTAAAAATACATCAAAATGCTCAGCTAAAACTTATGAGGGACAGAGAGCCTGCACCGCAGGGCCTGGCCTCTGGCTGGAGTCAAGCTGTGGGGAGGAAGCGGGGAGGAGTGTGTCCCGCCTGCACAGAGGGAGGCACCGCCATGGGGAGGTGTCTTGAATGGGTGAACTGACACTAGGAGGAGGGAGAACCGTGATCCCCATCACGATCCCCACATCACCCTAAGAACAGGAAGCACTGGAAGAGCAGGAGTCAGGGAGCCCCGCCGGGCTCCTCCAGGAGCTCCCTGGAACCACTGCGGCCTGCAGGCCCTGGTTCCCCCCACTGCCCCCGACCACTGACGCCGTGTTCCACTGTGAGGGCTGGACTGGGGCAGCAAGTAGGTCGACTGTCAGCCACCTCTTCACTATGTTCAGGGCTCGGAGCAGCGTCCTGATGCCATTTCCATCTGTTATCAGAGATTTTGCTGTAGGGTAAATTCTGCCTGCCTCTCAGAAACCAGTATTTTAGGGTTTTTGTTTTGTTTTGTTTGTTTGGTTTTATAATAACTTTGCTAGAGGGCAGCTACACTCATGATAGAGAAGCAGAGAAAGACAGAGAGGGAGATGAGGAGCCTCCAGCCCCCCACCACCCCGCCACGACGGGAGTGGCCCGCTGCAATCCCTTCTCTGTTTTCCCTTCCTTTAGGGATTCTGGGCACACACGCTCACACACCCAGTGTGTTTCTCAAGGTACCGAGTCCAGGACGTGAACCACACAATTGGTCATGTGGGATCTGGCCACCTTCACTGCCATGTCACAGACCAGCCCTAAATGCTTATTCTCTACACTTTCACACTTAATTTCTATATAGCAAAATGAATCAGAAAAACATAAAACCACAATCTCAAATACAATACAAAGCCAGATGCTTCTTAAGATACGTCTTCACATCAACTCCTGCCCCTGACAATGGGATAAAGAGAAAGTTGCTTTTGGCTAGTAGGCTGGCTTAAAGTTCCCAGCGACAAAAACACAACAGGTCCTACCTTTCTTAAGCTGGATGTTAAGCCTCTTGCCTATTTTTTTGGTGTTGTACCCACTGCTGACATTCGTACTCAGTACATTCTGTGGGGCTGGCGGTGGCTTTCCGGAGGGGTGTGTGCTGTGAGGTAGTCGGGGGTGAGCGTCCTGCGGCTCGGGCTGGTGGGCTGGCCGGGGAGCTCTTTGCAGGGCAGGGAGCCCAGGGCCGAGCACGCTCCGGCTGTCAACATACTGGCTGTCAGGGCTGAAGCGGCTGGAATAGTAATTGTTCTTCTCGCTCTGGGACAGTTGCTCATACTGCTCTTTATTTGCCGCAGGAACCACATGGAACCAAATGATGGGTGTACGCATGGCTTGGCGAAACATATGTTGTGCTCTGGGTTTGAGAAAGAACGGAAAATTAGCAAATGAAGACTGGCAGACCTGGAGATATTATGAGCTTAATTAAGTATACTAATTAAGCAATAAGAACTGACAGACTGTTGAAATCAAAAAGCAAAATTCTAATAACCCATTCATCAATCAGGTTTGCAAGCTCAGATAGAAGCATAGCTGTGTCTCCAAATATAAAGGTCTCAGGCACTAAAGAAAACTAGCAAAATTATCTACAACTAACATACTGTGTGTGCAAGTTCAAGTCATTAAACTACAGTTTCAAGGACAATACCGGTATTATACTTTCAGTATTAATAAAGATCCAATGCAATCTTCTCTATTTTACTTCTTGTAAAAATCATATTTTCTTAAAAAAGGACCACACAATTTTCAAAGAAATGAATGCTCTATAAATATGCTTAGAAAAATACAGAAAGCGACTATTCATTACTCCTATCAGCAAAATTAGTTCACGCATCAGTGCAAGCAAAACTGTTGAGTGCATCTATCTGGACGTGGTGGCTATAATGTCACAGTGATGGATGCCAATGCCACCAGTGACCAGCCAGAGAAGGGGCTCTACCTCTCACTGATGCCCGCTCCAGTGTCACCAAAGTTTGTAAGAGTCCAGCTCGCTCCTGCCTTGCCAATGTATTCTTTATTTGAACAAGAGCTCGAATCTAGACAAAGGATATCTGAGTACAACAAAACAATGGCGGCTCGGCGGAGCCTTCTGTTTACTTGGACCAAGAGACATCATACGCAACAGCAGTTGGAAATGAGGTTTAAAGTATAATAACAATCAATGCACTGGTCAGGTTTCCAAAGGGTGAGAAACAGCAAGCACAATGAGGCTACACTGGGCTGGAACCTGTGAAGATGAGCTCCAGCAGCCCAGGGGCGTTGGGAAGTAGGGCCTAATCGTAGTGACTGCCTGGAGTCTGGCTCTCTGTATCTTTACACGTTAGATAATGGCAAACACCCTGCTACAGGACAGAGACCACGGACCGGCTGTCTGGAACATTTCAATGGACTGCGGCCTGCCAGGCCCCAGGCAGGTGGGGACAGGCCGTCAGCACACACTTACTGTTCGAATCTTCTATTTCGGAGGTCGCCATCATTAATCCTGACAATGCAATCATTCTCATGAAAAAGGTTTTCTTGTTCAGCTTTACCACCTTTCTCCAACCGTTTTACTAATAACCCCAGGGTTCTGGAACATTAAGAATGCAAATGATTACACATGTAATATCTCCAGCACGCACAAGGCCCCACTGCATTAGAGCTGTATTATATTTACAAAGGCTTCCTTGTCAAGGGGCATATTAAATCGCTCTTAAAACATTTTAAAATAACACCAAGACAAAAATCACGGCAGTTTAAATGAACTGTAGAAATGGGTCCTTGCAAAGATACGAGAAATAATTTTCAGGCTCACGGTTACGTTCCTGAAGCGAACTGTACACTAGCCCGATGCTTCACGCTGCTCTAACACTCGCCTGGCGGTGCAGGGCGTGGGTGAGCGTGGAGCTGTGAGTGGCTGGGACGCCTTTCTGCTCTAAGCAGCTAGAACATGGCTGACTGTAACCTCTGTCTTCCCACGAGGGGCAGGGGATGAGGGCAGGCTGATTTCATATTGTATGTAGGCTTGAGGAGAGTAATAGGGAGGAAGGGGTCAGAGACAAGAGCGCTTCCACGCTAGCTATCTGAATTTGATAGCGCCTGATATTCTGAATTTCAAAACTTACTAAGTCTCTCAAAAGTTAGTAATTTGTTATATTTTCGATTGATGAAAGACAAGAGGAAGAGAGAAATTCCAAGAATCTGGTTGTCATTCGGCCCTTCCATACGTGAACTAAACCCCAGGGTGAAAAAGAAGTTTAAATGAGCTTTTAGAGATCCATATAGAGAAAAAAAGTTAAAATTACTAGCGTGCTTGCTCCGGAGTACTAACTTTATAACTCACAAGCTATGCTGGACACCCTGGGACCAACGGCAAACTCTCACTGAGGATACAGTAGAAGGAACAGGATGGGTGTTAGTATTGGCTTGGTGGCTGGCATGACTTCTGTATCCTGGTCATGTCAAAACCCATACGTGGGGGCCAGCAGATGGTATAGTAGTTAAGGGCGCTGGACTCCCACATGGCCGACTGCGGTTTAAGTTTCAGATGACTCGGCTTGCTTTCTCATTTCTCTTTCTCTCTCTCTCTCTCTCTGTCTCTCTGGTCAAAAGAAACAAAAAGAAAAAAAGGAAAAGGAAAAGGAAAAGGAAAAGGAAAAGGAAAAGGAAAAGGAAAAGGAAGAAAAACTAATAATTCTTTAAGGAAAAAAAAATAAAACCTATATGTGACTTTATATCTGGCACTTCCAAAGTTTGCATTTTCTTCTATAATCCTAATAAAGAGACAAAAAAATGCCTCCATAGATATACATGATTTAGAATCCTGTACAATATAAAACCAAAGACACCACGATTTCTAAAAGCCTCTACATGTTGTCCAGTAGATGTTCACCTAGATGTTCTGGCCAGCCACAGACATGCATTCTAATAGAAGCAGCTTCCTGGGTAAACGCACACGTTCACTGTGGTGCCTGTCCTATGACCCACTGTCCCCTCCTGTCGTACATGGACCCTTTGCCGACCACTGCGTCGACAACTCCTGAGACGTGGCCACACCTGCTCCAGTATGCAGCCGGAGGTCAGGTCTCGGTAGAAGCTAGCAGAAGGAAGGACTGAGCTTAGCTGAGGCAAATGAATCTCATATTTCTAGTGAGATTTTTTGTAAAATAGAATAAAAACAAACAGAATTTATATCCGGAGCCCTTTTCACATGAAGGTATCAATTATGCTAAAGATAGGATTGAACTGAAATGAATGGCATGGAAGCAAAAGGCTCATTTCACTTTCTGCTTGGCAGTCTAACTTTTGTTTATTTCATGAATATTTACAGTCACTGATTAACAGCATTCTAATTTATAGAATTAAATATAAAAAAATAATGAGAGGGTGGTATATTTATGTTGCCTTGACTTTCATAATGTTACCAGTTAAGGATCAGCACTATTAGAATATGTCTAAAAGTATTAGTGATTGGTGGAAGGAAAAAAAAAAAAAAAAAGAGTGCTGTGTCAGCAATTTCTAGTTACTTATTAACAAATATTGGACTTAAATACATACATAGTTAGCTCTCTCTGCTTGGCCAGCCACAGTGGCAGGGCAGTAACACAACCCTCCACAATGCAGATGGCATGTGGGAAAGCCCAGGGTCGGGGTCCTGAGGGCTCCCAGTGCATGCCAGCAGTATGTGTGTGCCTGAGGACCTGGCTGGCCGAGGCTTGGGGAAAACTGTCTGGAACACTACAGAGGGTGCCCTCCCACCTCTTTTGCTCTGTCTCCCAAATCTCATGGAATTAATAAACAAATACATTCTCAAAACTTATTTGGAGTCAGCCCTGTGGCCTGGTGGTTAAGGGAGTCAGATCCCACAGGGCTGAGTGTATAGTTCAAACTCTGGCCTCAGTGGCTTGAAAACCAGCTGGATGTGTGTGCCTGGGGGCCCCAAATCCTGCTAGGATGAAGACAGGGAGGAGAAGGGAGTGCAGTGTGGCCATGCCCCATTGCAGGGTGCTCTCTCCCCCTCCCCCATTTCTGTCTCTCTCTGGCAAGTGCGCATGCCCTCAAGCAATTAAAAAAAAAATTCCCTCAACTCAACAGTAGGAAGAAAGTCCATTGATTTAGCTGAACACCCAACTTAATTGTCTCTATCCAAATTTGGAAGGGAAAGATGCAAAGATATGCCACACCGATGATTAACTCGTCATTTAAGTGCCATCACGCCGAGTCCCTCTGCACGGGCTTCCCTGTTGAAGTTAGATTCTGCCTGTGAGAAGTATTCTCTACCAGAGGAACCAAATGATTAGGCTATACCTATGATATCAATGAACAGGAAAGAGGAATACAAGAAATCAAGTTCAATACAGTTACTCACTGGCATGCCCTGGGATCTGGAGAGAACTTGGCCACTGCACACTCGAAGCAGCCCTGTGAAAGTACAGCTTACAGAAAAGAAGCCTTGGTCCCGGGCAGCTAATCCCACCATGACAGGAGCTGCACGCCTGTGGCTGGGACACGCCCGAGAGTCTGTGTGTTTACGCCTAGAAAAGCGCATACTTTCAGTTCCTGCGATGAAAAATGTGTCCTACTATGACTCACTCTAGCTATTTAACTGGATTTTATAATTAGTAAAGTCATAAGCTATTTCTCTTGATGGCTAGAACATTTTTGTAATCTAAAGTAATTAATAATTCATATGTTTTTATGTATTCTGAGATGTTTCGTGTAATATAAAATAGCCTAGAAATTTTTAGAAACTACATGTGTTTAGTGGAAATTACCTAGCAGTAAAGTAAAACTTGTTTAAATATATAAATCTGGGGGGAGTCAGTAGGGGGCATGGTTGTTACAGGCGCTGGACTCCACATGGCCAACTGTGGTTGGAGTCCCAGATGTGGTGCCTTACTTTCCCACTTTCCCCTTTCTCTCTCTCTCTCTGGTCAAATTTAAAAAGTAATAACAACAACAAGAACAAATAAAATTAAATAAATAGTTCTTTTTTAAACTCCTTAATTATTATTATTGTTATTGTCCAGTTTGATCAGAGAGAGACAGAGGGATAGTGAGGAAGCAAGTGCCAGGTCCAGGACTCAAACTGCAGTCAGTCATGTGGGAGTCCAGCACCTTTAACCACCACACTGTCTGCTGGTCCCAAAATAAATCTTTAAAACAAATTTATAAATTTTTTATTTACAGCAAGAGGGACCATCGCCTTCCCAAAGCCAGAGACAGAGAAAGAGAGAGAATGCACCACTCCGTAGGGCATGGTCATGCCACAATCCCTTCTCCTCCATTTCTCACTGTCAAGATTTTGGGCACCCAAACACACATGCCAGCATGTGTTTCAAGCCTCTGGGGCTGCAATTTGAACTCTGCAGAGTCAACCGCATGGGATCCAGCTCCCTTAGCCACCAGGCCACAGGACCAGTCCCTAAAGTTAAAAATTTATCTCCATAGGTCCTTTGAAGATGTATCATAGTTTAACATAGCATAATTTAGAACGCTGTACTTCAATTTTACAAGTGACATCAACTATTTTTAGATAAATAGGTTAATGTATTTCTATTCACTAGATAAGCATTTCGTTTCTTAAAACTTACATTTTTTTCTCTTTTACTTTCTAGAATAATAATCCAACGTAAAGAAGCAGACCACATTTCATTTACGGAGTGGTGGTCTTTCTGTGTAAGTGCTCCCCTATGGCCAAAAGCATCAGGATTCCTAAAGTACACAGTACATGTACATTCTACATACATGTTACATGCCATGAATACATATATTACAGGGAACGTAACGGGAGCTTGTTGACCACAGCGTTGGCAACCACAACCGCCAGCAGTTATTCAGCCTCAGCATGGCTTTATTCAGTCCTAGAGAGGGAAGGCTGAGGGAGGGACAGCGGAGAGGAGGCCTTCTCCCTGATGACACCGCGAGTGATCAGGGAATCAGAACCGACGGAATTAAGGTGAAGTGAGCAGCCTGCTGATTTCCAAGCACTTGACCACACTATTAGAATCATTCTCTCAAAAAGAATGGATTAATTTAGAAGTAAAGTGGAACAATCTGCAAAATTATCTCATTTGCTCCACTAGGTGAACATGATTACAAAAGGAATGGAATGAACTATCAGACCAGAAAAAAAAAAGAGAAAAAAAAAAACTTCACAAGAAAACCGAACTGACAACAGCTTGACTGTGAGTGTAAAGACCCTCTGAAGGGAACTGAACACATAGATGCTCTTGCAGCTGCTTTCATTTTTCAGAAAACTGTGTGTGTAAGTGGCTGTTCCATACCTCCCTCTTTCGGATCCAAGCTATTCCAAAGAGTGCAATTAAAAGCAAATCTTAGGTATGTATCCTGCACACTCAACCAGCCCAGCCAGCAACTGGAACTTGCTGCGAGTAAGCAGGGATGGACCACCTCCGCTGTGTGGCCGCCAGGATGTTTTATCAGAGAAAGCGGTTCGAGCTCCTGAAGGGAGGACTACTTTGTCATGTCAATGAGCTGGGGAGGACAGCTTTTCTTCTCGGCAACTAGTATCAAAATGGTGATCTCACACCCATGTCACAAAAACTAAAAATGGAGGGAAGAGGGAAG